GGCCTCGAACTCACAGAGATCCGCCTGGCTCTGCCTCCCGAGTGCTGGGATTAAAGGCGTGCGCCACCACCGCCCAGCCTTTTTTTTTTTTTTTTAAGGACATTGAAATGGATGTATTCTGATTCCCTCGGTAAGAACTGATTTTTGTTCCGAATTGACAAATAAATCAACAAATCTATACAGACAGCATCATTAGCTAGACATTAGATGGGTGCTGGGACCTGAACCCAGCTCCTCTACCAACAGCCTAAAACTGGTTATCAGAAAAAAACTGTGCTGAGTAATCTCCTTTTGCTTTAGTATAATTGGTGGGAGGTGGTGGTGGAGGGGGTATTTTACTTGACAAGATGTAGTCCATCATTAAGGGAAGCAAAGGCAAAGATTCAAGGCAGGAGCTTGAAGCAGAAACCAATGGAAGACCACTGTTGACAGAACTGCTCCCAGGTTTCCTACACAGAACATGTTCAGGAATGGCACTTTTCACAGGGGAGGTCCTCCTACATCAATCAGCAATTAAGAAATTGCCCAGAGACCAAACAAATGCGGGAATTCTTCAACTGAGATTGTGTCTTCCCAGATGTGTCAAGCTGACAATGAAGATTAGTCATCACATCTTTCCTTTGGGTTATTTTAAACATTCTACAAGCTTTTCTACTGGTCAAAAATATACTATCATTATATGCAAATATTTTACATTACCTATGATTCCAACAGTAACATCAATAATTTGACATTATGTTATCATTTTCTTTAAAAAAAAAATTTTATATCCCAATCAGTTTCCCCTTCCTCCATTCCTCTTAACTGCCACTACCTCCTGCTTTAGGTAATTTTAAAGTTGAATATACTTAGCCGGGCGGTGGTGGCGCACGCCTTTAATCCCAGCACTCGGGAGGCAGAGCCAGGCGGATCTCTGTGAGTTCGAGGCCAGCCTGGACTACCAAGTGAGTCCCAGGAAAGGCGCAAAGCTACACAGAGAAACCCTGTCTTGAAAAACCAAATAAATAAATAAATAAATAAATAAATAAATAAAGTTGAATATACAATAGAGAATGTAGTTATTTGAAAAGAAAGTCTATACTGCTGTTGTTTAAAAATTAGAACTGTTGGGCTGTTGGTAGAGTGCCCAACATGCATGAGATCTGGGTTTGATCCCCAGCACGGCATAAACTGAGCATGATGGTGCACACCTGTAATGCTAGCCACTCGAGAAGTGAAGACAGGAGGATCAGAAATCCAGTATCATTCTCAACTACTTAGTGAGTTAGAGGCCAGCCTGTCTCAATAACAACAACAAATCAGTCCTTACCGAGGTTAGCTGAATAGGTGCTACTGTATCTAAACACCGTTTTGTTTAGACTTCTAGAACTGTGGTTCTAGAGAAGTTAGCTAAGTAAGACAGCTCAATTGCTTTATCCGTGAACTATTGATTATGGCAAACCTGAGGAAGTTACAGTAGACAAGCTGTGATGTATTTGAACTGTGGATTTAGGATGTATTTGAATTACAAATGTCCATGTGGGCATAACAGTGACTTTGGATAATATACAACATAAATTGGGGTTATTTGCATTACTCTGCTTAATTAGCTATATTATGAGAGTACTTTATCATAATTCATTATGTATTTGAAATGGTAGACTGCTTTTTTAAACAACTGCATGAAAATGGCATTTGACTCTGTATAGATTATTTCAGGCTTACCTAATTATTCTTTTGTTTGTGACAGGGTCTCATGTAGCCTAGGCTGGCCTCTAAATACCTATGTAGCCAAATATAGCCTTGAACTCCTGATCCTTGTGCCTCTATCTCCCAAGTGCTGAAATTACAAGCATGTACCACTAGGCAGTCCCAATTACTCTTAAGTATAACTTATGTTGCTAGTGTGCCCTCATTAGAATCTAAGCTGTGACCAATGCATGCTGCATACAAAGCATGCCAGCTTCCTGCTAGCAACTCGTATTTCAAAGTAATGTAAAGCTGAGATTTCTTACTGTTCTTCCCCCAAAATATCAATTCCATTATCATTATTATTGAATAATGACTACTTGGTGATCATTTCTGATTCTATGAGCTAGGTTTGTTCTCCTTAAGAGTATGTGAAAGCCAGTGCCTACTACAGACTCTGATATGGAGATGACTGCAAGAACTGCTAAATAGATAAAAAGAAGACTAATAGTTTCTGAAAGTAGAATCAATTAAATGATCCTTCAAAACTGTAATTTTTCTATTAAAAGGAATTGTCTTGAGGTATTGAAGCAGATGTTAAAATTTAAAATGATGAGAGTATACATAAATTTAGGTATAATTAGTGAATTCAGCAAGAGCAACTTATATCATAATTACTGGATTCCTAAGTTTTCAGTATTAACTAAAAAGCCATAGAATTATCTAGAGATACCAACAATTCCTCTTCTGTTACTACAAAATTCTTAACTAAACACCAGTCACACTAAGAAAGGAGTGATGTGTTCTGCCTCAACACCACTCTACCTCTGACCTACATTTGTTTAGCATGCACTGGACTCGTGTTCATAGCTGAGATAGGATGGTCAGTGATCATGTCTGTCATCGATACGTTTGTCACATTTCACAACTGGACAAACATCTGTTACTATTTGATCCTAACATAAAAGTCAGACTTATCTCAAATCCTAGTTACGGGCTATTAATGATTAAGAGACAATGTGACAGATCCTACCTCCAGATAAGCACTTGAGAGACAGAAGTTTGGAATGCAACATTAACTCATTCAAGTACAAAATAATGAATCAGTTGATCAACATCTAATTATTTTGTAGAGTAAGGTAACTCAAAAACCACTAAACTCTCTGGTGGTAAAAAATCAGAATTTCTCAGTAGTGAAGGAAGATACTGTACTAATTTTTGAAACATCCCTTTTAATTTAATACACCATGAATTATTAACTTGTGCTTTTAAATAATGTACCACTGGATCATATTTTTTAAGCAAGCATTCTATAACGGCTAAGAGCCCACATTTTTTTTTTTTTTTTTTTTTTTTTGGTTTTTCGAGACAGGGTTTCTCTGTGTAAGAGCCCACATTTTTAACTGGAATAAAAACCCAGAACATAGCAATTAATTCAATAGGAATTGTGACTTAAAAGACTTAATATAACTCCCCTAATATCTGCCCTCTGACAGAAAGGAACTTATTTATAAGAGCATTCTGGCTGAACAAAACAAACTGCAGATACTTTTCCAGAATTAAAAATTTAAAGAACATCTCTGAGGGGCTAGAAAGATGGCTCGGCAGTTAAAAGCATGCATTGCAATTGCAAAAGACCAAATGTTCCCAACACCTACATTAGGCAGCTGTTACTCCAACTCTAGGAAATCTGATGCCCTTTTCTGGACTCCAGGGGCACCTGTACTCACATGCAAATACCCACAGACAGACACACACACACAATTTAAAAATGATAAAAATCTTTTTTTAAACAACATTATTTGAAGGGGATAAAGTTTTTACTAATGTCCTCATGTAGTAGATATGAGAACATTCAAGCCTTTATCTTGTCATCCTTAATTACAAAGGACTTCTAGATAACTAAATTGCTATAAGTATAAAATTATAGCACTAGAGACTTGCAGAGGAGCATTCAATCACTATTATTTCAAATGCTATCATCCCTTCAAAGTCTCTGCACCTGAGATAAACAAACATTAATCATTTACCAAGGATAAATAGGTTAAATGCTTTCCTTTTTTCCAGTGTATTTACCTTTATTCCTTTGAAGCTGAGTATACCAGGCTGCTCCCGGACCCCACAATACAAGCACATAATGTTGACCTTGAGCCTGTTCCACAGTTAACAGAACTTTCCTTTGCTTCTGTCCTCTATAACTATACACTGCCTCTGGAAAAGGAAGAGGAACACTGTAGCTGGTATTACCCAGCTTGGGTGACAACAAAATATCTCATGGTAAATACATAGTGGTAATCAACAAAAGCACTAAGATGGTCCTGTATAGCTTTTATAAGCTAAAATTAAAGAGGCACTCAAAATATTTACCTGTCAAGAGGGGAGGGTGCTTAGTCCTGCCTCAACTTGATATGCCAGACTTGGCTGACTCCCCATGGGAGACCTTACCCTCTCTGAGGTGTGGATGGGATTGGAGGAAATGGGGGGGGGGGAAGGGAGGGAGGGACAACTGTGGTTGGTATGTAAAATGAAAAAAAAAAACTTAAAAAAATATTTACCTGTCAATACAGTGACATCCAGTACTCTGAGTACGGCATGGACTAATGTATCAGGCTGCAGTTGCTCCAATTCCACAAACTCTACAGTGTTCATTTTCTGATGCTGCCTCTGAGGCAGATCTTTGAGATAGGAATGTTTTGAAGACACATATCCCAGTAAGTCCTCAAGTACAACACTGGCAACTACATTGGAATCTAAGAAACACAAAACATGGACAAAGGCAGGCATCATATTTTGCTGGTAATCACAAATGTCAAAACAACTGCTGTGGTGGTTTGAATCAAAATGGTCCCCATAGGCTCATAAATTTGAATGCTTAGTCACCAGGGCATATCAACTCATAAAATAAAGCATCTATTTAGGACTTTTTTTATAGTTTCAGAGTCCATTATCATCATGGCAGGAGGCATGGCGGCACACAGGCAGACATGGTGCTGGAGAAGTAGCAGAGAGTTCTACATCTGCATCTGCAGGCAGCAGGAAGAGATGCCACTGGGTCAGGCATGAGCTTCTGAAACCCCAGTGACACACTTTCTCCAACAAGGCCACCCTCCTAATCCTTTCAAGTGGTGTCACTCCCTATGGAACACACGTCAATGAGAGTTAGGGGAGGAAGAATCGTTGTGTGTGTGTGGTTGCTATGCTGTGTGGAATTTGGTTGGGAAGAGAGGTGTGACCACTTCATAGCATCTTGGAAGCGCTAAGGACAGCATCCTAAACTTAAATGGTGGAGGGCAGGTTCAGGAGAGTCTGTTAGGTCATTTGTAGGATATTTCCAAGGGCTGTGCTTAGGAGCTTGTCGATGAAGGACTGTTGTCGTGAAAGCTGGGAAAGACAGGATTAGACTAGAGACTGGGGAGCCAGCTAGATAGTTTCGGGACTATGGAAGAATTAAAAAATAATGAAAAATCGGAGCCTGGCTACAGATTGGGAACAGGATGGAATTTTTGGAGATGATAATAGTTTCTATTGCCTAACAATATCTACATTTACTTTTTGGTTTAATCTGAGTAAAGAATAAACTATATATTTTATAGAAATTAAGTAATGTTTTACATGTATTTATATATCACAACATAAGATAGTTTACAGAAAATACTATGCTTAGTGTGAACAAAAATTCCTGAAAAGAAGCTAATTCTGTAGAGACTGACTGCTTCACTGATTAGAATTTCAATTGTAAGAACAGCCATTTCATTATTCAGTCATAATACCATTTAATTGATTTTAGTCTTCCTTTCTCAATGTTTATTTTAATTTTAAGATTATTTTATTTTGTGTATATGAATATTTTACTGTGCACCACATGAGTTCCTGGTACCCACAGAGTGGATCCCCTGGAACTGGATTTCTACATGGTTATGAGGTACTATATGGGTGCCAGGACTCAAACCTAGGACCTTTATGTAAAATGTACTCGTAGCCACTGAGCCAATTCTCTAGACCCTGTTTTTAATTTTGTTGAGGCAGACTTTACAACTTTACATACAATAAAATACACATACTTTAGAAGCACTAGCTGAACCCACAAGATGACTGAGCAGGCCAAGGAGTTTGCTTGCAAGCCTGATGGCCTGAGCTGTAACCCAGGACTTACATGGTACACGGAGAGAAGCAGCTCACACAAGTTGTCTTCTGAATTTGCACAGGTACCACCACCTCCATGCAAACTAACTAATTAAATAAATTATTTAAAAATATGGACTAATGAGCTTTGCTGATCAAATTTAAATTATCCTGAAGGAAAGGGAGATATGTTCATATACATGACAGATTTATGACCAAAAGATGATGCTACCCAAATATATTTTGTTGTTTTTTAGAAATCAAGAGTTTTTAAACTAATTTATGATTTTTCTTTCTCCCATTAACATGCTCATCTGCATCTACTCCATCTGCTACACCAACACCTAATTATTCACTCACTCATTACTCACTACTCATCTGCTATGTGACAGATGCTACACCAGGTGCTCAGTAAGGACACAGGGAAAATCACATCACAATCTCAACACAGCAAGAGTTACTGATTGACCTAGAGACAGACGGTAACGAACACTCAGCATAGAATGTAAACTGAGGACAGGCTTGGATCACACTCAGTAAACGGTTTACCTAGCACTCAGGTGGCTCTGGGCTCTATCCCCAGAACCATTCATGGCTGGGAGCAATGGGTGGGGGGAGCTATGGAAAGGAAGGAACATTCCTGAAAACTTAGACACAGAAAACAGAACTACTTAGAAAACAGTTGGCTAGACTCTCCAGGGAATAAACTGGAGGGAGACAGAGAACAGCCATGAGAAGAGTTAAGCGATGGCTGAAAAATCTCTAGTATGACAGCAAAACCAAACAAATGCAGTCTATCCCAGAGGCATTAGTGTGGTCTGGGAAGCTCCCTCCTCACAGAGCCATGCTTAAGACAAAAAGCCTCAGAAGATCTTAGACACGTGCTCTCAGTAACAGAGACCTTAAAGAGGAAAAAAGGGGAAGGGAACAAAAGTTATACATGGCGACAGCAGAGAAAGAAGAGATATCCCAGGAAAACCCTCTGCTCTCAGCATTTAACTAGAGCATCAGCAAGAGCCTGGTTTAAAAAGATCCTGGGGGCTGGGGATTTAGCTCAGTGGTAGAGCGCTTGCCTAGCAAGCACAAGGCCCTGGGTTCGGTCCTCAGCTCTGAAAATAAATAAATAAATAAATAATATCTCTGTAGTTTCAGTAGCTTCGGTGGTTAGCTCTGAAAATAAATAAATAGATAAATAGATAGATAGATAAATGAATGAATAAAAGTAAATAAATAAATAAATCTCTCAGTAGGTTCAGTAGCTTGGTGCTTAGACCCTCAGTGAACCACATTCCCAGGACACTCAGAGTAAATGTCATGGGACTAGACTCTGAATCCTGGCCAAGAGAACACTTCTAGATTGAGGAGAAGAAACAGGATCAAAACTCTACAGCTCAGGCTAGAAAGATGGCTCAGTGGTTAAGAAAACTGGCTGCTCTTGCAGGGAACCAAAGTTCAGTTCCACACTCTTGGCGGCTCACAACCATCAGTGATTCCAGTTCCAGGGAAACCAATGCCCTCTTCTGGTCTCTGCAGGCACTTCATGCACACGGTGTGCAGATACACATGCAGACATACATACAGGCAAAACTCATATACATAAAATAAAATATAAATCTTTTAAAGGAATGCAGCTCAATGAAGGAAATTCAGCCAGATTTACTAATATATGTTGGTATCATATTAATTTTGTAAACAGTGAATTCTTTTATTATTGGGTGTTCCATTCCAGAAATCCAATTGATTTTCATGTTTATCTTATATCTACCTACCATGCTAAACTCTCTCATTAATTCTCATAATTTTTGGAGAAGTCAATATATAAGCCATCATATCATTTAATAAACAATGTTTTATTTCATTCTTTCTAATCTCTTTGCATCTTTTCTGTACTTTAGCACACTAGTTGGTGCCTCTAAAATAACGTTAGTAAGAGTGATAACAGTAGTACCCTAGTCTAATGTCCAAACCTTAAAAGCAAATTTCAGACCAGGCAGTGGTGGCGCACGCCTTTAATCTCAGCACTCGGGAGGCAGAGCCAGGCAGATCTCTGTGAGTTCGAGACCAGCCTGGGCTACAGAGTGAGTTCCAGAAAAGGCGCAAAGCTACACAGAGAAACCCTGTCTCAAAAAAACTAAAAACTAAAAAAAAAAAAAAAAAAAAAAAGCAAATTTCCATTATACTTTTAATTTTGATGTTTTTTTTTTTTTTTTGCCTTGGATTTTGTGCTTGTTAGAAAAGAATCCCCTCCACCCATAAGCTCATATATTTGACTGCTTAGTCAAAAGAGAGTGGTACTACTTAGAAGAATTAGGAGGTGTGGCCTTGTTGGGGTAGGTGTGGCCATTAAAGGAAGTGTAACACTGGGGTTTGAGGTTTCAGAAGCCTAAGCTAGGCCCAGTGGCCCCCTCTTCCTGCTGCCTGTGGACTCGGATGTTTCTAATGAGTGGATATTGAATTTCATCAGAAGATTTCTTTATACCTATTGACTGGATGATAAGCAGCTTTTTAATGTCTGCAGGTTAGGGAGTTAGCTCAGTTGGGAAAGTGCTTTCTTCACAAGCACAAAGACCTAAGCAATCCTCTGTAACCAGGCATGTGCTTGTGCTTGTGACTCCAGTGCCGGTGAGACAAGAGACAGGAGGTCTCTCATGCCCGCTACTCAGCCAGTCCAGCCTAAGTGGTGAGCTCCAAGCCAGTAAAAAACCATGTTTCAGCGGGGAGGGGGGGGTGGGGGGGGGGGTGGCACACACCTTTAATTCCAAAACCTGGAAGGCAAAGACAGACTGACCTTTGTGAGTCCAAGGCTAGCCTGGTCTACAAAGTGAGTTCCAAGAAAGCCACTACTATTTAAACAGAGAAACCCTTTTGAAAAACCAAAGAGAGAGAGA